GCTCTATTTTTTCAACAAGACCATCGCCCTCTACTTCATCCAAAAGAAGCCTTATTTGATCATCCTTGAGTTTTAACGACTTCCTCAGGGCACGAACAAGTTTATCGCAAGGGGTATTTTGTTTGTTAGCGCGCAGAGATTCAAGGGTATCCCAAATTTGTCGGACCTTTGATGGATCAGCGTGCCGATAATTTCTCATTTTTTGAAACGTCATATAGGATTAGGTAGAAGCATAATTACACAACCTGAAAGTGAAAAGTTTCCGGAGAAATTCAAATTGTCCTCGAAAGCGATCATTGTTGTGAACATGAGACATGTGAATATAAAATCTATTTTTATAATACACGTAGCTTCTTTCCAGCAATTATTAAATACATTGGCAAAATAAAAAAAGAGGAAGCAGGTTATGAGAAATGAGCACGATTAACTCACAAGGCAAACGAAGGGAATCAGAGCCACCATTTGCAAACAACTAGTAAAACAAAGTATATTATTTAAGTAAATAAAGATAAGTTAAATAACTTTTAATCAAAAACATTTTATATGGATATACTTTTAACTTGTTTTAAGTAAGCGCATAAGTCAAAACTCAGCTGGGTTATCTCAAACCTGCATTTCGCTATTTTATTTCCTTCTTAGTACACAGTATCCTAATGGACTCTACTCGAGTCTATCATGAGTGTTGTATATGCCTTCAAGAATGTGTATATCCTGTACAGTTACCTTGCAATCACGTGTTCTGTTTCCTGTGCATCAAGGGTTGTGCTCTCCACAAAAGAAAATGTCCTATGTGCCGAACACGCTTTGCTGTCGATTTTTTCACAGACCCCAAAGTCATAGGCCCTATTATTGATGATCCGTCAGGTAAGATATAATCATTTTTATTTGATGGTTCGAAGGCGCTTGGCGTCTTTATGCTCATTGCCTTACTAACTTCATCATTTGTTAATCTATAGTTGAGATAATAAAGTCGAAGTGACATATTGATATCCTAAATACTCTTGATATATTCAATTTTGGCTAAGTAACGTTAACTACGCGTTAGAAAATAAACTGATTTATTGTTGCGCCCTCTTAAAACTGCTAAGCGAATTTGCCCTTGATATTTACATACAAACGAAGCTTTTATAAATGCGTTCTCAAC